TATACTATATATTGTGCAAATTGTAGGAAACTGACTATATCCAGGACACAGTTTCCAATAGGCATAAACATAGTAAGTGGAGATTTGTCCTGATATTGACATTGTCCCAGAATATGGAGATAGGCTGATCTGGTGCAATGTTTGTCACTTGGAAGCAAAACAATCTTTTTCTAATCATTGAATAGACACGGGGAACAATGCCAGTATTCCTGAACAAATGAAAATTATACTATTTGGCTGTTTTGAGAAAGGAAAGCAATAGATTAGGACAGCATATTATAATAACAATAATATATCAACCCTACAAGGGTCCAGCATCTTCGGACATCTTCCTGACGTGAAAGGCGCTATATCCATGAATGCACGCTCCACCCCACTGAGCTAGTCAGGAACCTAGGTGCCTTATTTGACCCTCAATTGTCCTTTCTCCCCCACATCCGTGCCGTGACCTACTCTGCCTTTCCCCACCTCCACAACATTGCCTGGCTCCGCCACTGCCTCACCCCTCAGGCCGCCAAAACCCTCATTCACAAATTCGTCGCATCTAGGCTTGACTACGCAGACTCCCTGCTTGTCGGCCTCCCCAACTATTCTCTCCACAAGTCGCAGATCATCCAGAACTCTACAGCTTGTGTCCTCTCCCGCACCAGGCTCCGTGACCCCATCACCCCCACCCTTGCCCAGCTCCACTGGCTTCCCATCCCTCAGAGGATAGAGTTCAAAATCCACATCTTCACCTTCAAAGCCCCTCCGTGGCCTTCCTACCTCTGTGTCCTTGAATGGTTTAGGTCGTACCTTTCTCACCGTCTTCACTTTGTCTCGACAAATGGCTTCTCCTCCACCCCCCGTACTGTCTCATGTGGAGTCCCTCAGGGCTCTGTCCTCGGTCCCCTCCTCTTCACCCTCTATACGCTCCCCCTGTGGTGACATCATCCGCAGACATGGAGTTAACTTCCACATGTATGCGGATGACACCCAACTCTACCTTTCCTCCTCTACTCTCAACTCCACGACCACCGATGTCCTGACAGCTGCCTGTCCGACATCGAGTCCTGGACGAGAGACAACTTTCTTCAGCTCAACGTGCGAAAAACCGAGGCCCTCCTGATTGGTTCGCGTCAGCGCCTCCGCACCTCAGGCGCCGACACCATCAGCATCCAAGGCTGCACTCTCCACCTCGCAAAGCCAGTCAGGAACCTCGGGGTTCCCCTCGACCCTGAGCTGTCCTTTCTCCCTCACATCCGCACCACAACTGGCACCGCCTTCCATCACCTCCGGAACATCGCCAGACTACGGCATTACCTCACCCCTCACGCGGCTGAAACCCTGGTTCACGCTTTTGTCACCTCAAGGCTGGACTATGGGAACTCTCTCCTCGCCGGCCTTCCCGCCACCTCCCTCCACACTGCAGGTCATTCAGAACTCTGCAGCTCGTGTACTGTCCCGCACCAGACACCGCGACCACATCACTCCCACCCTCACCCTCGCCCTCACCCTCGCCCTCGCTCGCCTCCACTGGCTCCCCATCCCCCAGAGGATTGATTTCAAGATCCTCACCCTCACCTACAAGGCCATTCACGGCCTCGCTCCCTCCTACCTCTCCAACCTACTATCCCCCTACCTACCTGCCCGTACCCTCCGTTCCTCCGGCTCCGGTCTGCTCCACTTCCCCCGCCCCAATCGCCCTATCATCGGTGGTCGGGCCTTCAGCCTCTCAGCCCCGAGGCTCTGGAACTCTATCCCCCAGTGCCTTCGCCGCTTCCTCCCTTTCCTCCTTCAAAGCCGGTCTCAAAACCTTTCTCTTTGACCGTGCCTTCAGCTCCCCTCTCGACTCTCTTCCCCCTTCTCGCTCCCTCCCATCCCTCCCCTCACCCTGACCATTTCCCCCCTCCTCGCTCCCTCCCCTCACCCTGACCATTTCCCCAATGCTCAGGTCATGACCCAACTGTGCAGCGCCTTGGGATGTCCTCCTGACGTGAAAGGCGCTTTATAAATGGAATCTTGTTGTTGTTGTTGTGACCTGCCATATCAACCCGTCGGCTCCCTTCACTCAGCAGGCTCTGGCCTGTGCCACGTTCCCCCACCCAGCTTGTTCCACCACCCCCACCACCAACAACAACAACGTGGATTTATATAGCGCCCTCCACGCCGGACAGCATCTCAGAGTGCTTTACAGTTTCGGATCCCAGGGGGAGGGTGGGGGGGAGGGTGGGGGGGACGGTGACCAAAGGCGCGGTCGAAAAGAAAGGTCTTCAGTAGAGACCTGAAAATGGGAATGGATCACCATTGGTGATTGGGCCTTCGGCCTCTCTGCCTTCACGCTTTGGAACTCAATCCCACATTCCCTTTGCTTTGCACCCTCCCTTGGCACATCTCAAGACCCTCCTCTTCGACCATACCTTCGTCCACCCTCCCTAATTCCCAACCCCCCGCTCGGGTCCAAATCCCTAACTGTCCAGCATCTTGGAATGTCCTCCCGACGTGAAAGGCACTATATAAATGTAATTTTTCATTGTATATAAATACAATTTGTTGTTAATATAATGCCTTATTAGGTCATTGAGCCATCTCAGAACAGTTCGTAGGATACGCTTGGTGTGACTATATATTTTGTGGCAAAAGTTGTGTAGAATACAGTCACGTCACTTTCGTTAGAAATGGTAATGTGAAAGTATATATTTTGTGGGTATATTTGCGCACAAGCAGTCTCCCACAAACAATCTTGAAGTGAGTGACAAATTTTTATTTTGGTGAATTATCAGCTCGGACACTGGGAGAAACATCCTTCTCTTTTCAAATAGTGCCATGGGATATTTAAGATAATTGACAAAAGAACCAGAGGGGAGATGAGGAGAATTTTTTTACACAGTTATTACAGTCTAGAATGCACTGCCTGAAATAGGGGTGGAAAGAGATTTAATAAAACTTTCAAAATGGAATTGGATAGGTACTTGAAAAGGAAAGAGTGGCAAGGATATGGGGAGTGGGACTGATTAGGTAGTTCTTCCAATATAGTCACAGGCATGATGGATCGAATGGCCTATTAATGAAATATTATGTGATTCTATGATTTAACATCCTCCTGGACAGGCAGAAGGGACCTCGGTTTAGTGTCTCCTTTAAAGGATGTCGCCTCCAACAAAGCAGCACGCACTCAGCACTGTAATGGAGTGTCAGCTTAGACTATATGAGTACCTAAGAGTCTACACGATGAGAGATTAGTTCTGCACCATTTGAGAATGAAGGACAGCTAGTTACGGGTTGCTATTTTATGGAACAGATTGGAGCTACCCAGGCAAGCCTCCACTGCTGACTGCCTGGCTTTGGTCTGATATTTGCGTCAGGACCGATGACAGGTTCTGACACTGAATGCAGTTTTGGTAAAAAAGAAGTAATCTGTAATTGCTTTCTGTTTTGTAGCTCAAATTCATTATTCTATTTACAGTACAATATGGTTGTTTTCATTTATTTGATGGCTAACTGCTTGACAGAAGTTATTAAAAGCTTTTATCAATAGATAACCAACTGCTGTGAGCTAGGAGCAGTGTATTAATAATTCTTACATTTGATATAGCGCTTTTCACGTCTTCTAGACGTCTCAAAGTGCTTCACAGAATATATTGTAAAGTGAATTGACTATATATTTGTGGGTGAAACGCAACAGCCAACAGCAGTGTCCCACAAACAGTCGTGATTGAGTGACCAAATTATTATTGNTTTTTCCTTGAGGGATTATTATCAGGCGTGTGGAGTAAGGAAACTTGCCCAAGATTTCGCCCTGTGGGTAACCTACCCAGGTCTCTCACTTGCGAGGCGAGTGCTCTAACCACTGAGCTACAGGACTCCACTGTACATTTTTCTGAATACGGAATGAGAAACACTCCAAAAATGGGCAAGAGAGACAACCACATTTTGTTGCAGGCTGGGTGAATTTTACATGTGAAATGGGAAATAGAAGGCTGGAGCATTGCACATTCCACAGCTGCAGTTTGCAGAAAACCCTTTTTATGCTTTATCCCTAGACCACATCTGCTTTCATTCCCAAAATATTGTACACTGGTCGTAATTATATCCTTGTATTGAAGTAATGCTCTTAGTCTGTACAGTAAGTGCTTACAGATTTTCTAACCGCCTCCAAATTTTACAAAACCAGGTGAAAAGGACTTCAGTAAAATCCGCACAAGTCTTTATAAATTGAATAATTGCCAAAGTCGAACCTGCACCACAAGTCCCATTCAGTTTCCCACCCAAAACCACTAAGATTTCTTTGCACTAGTCGTAGTTTATAAAGCAAATTAGTTGACTTGTAACGCCACTACAGCACTCACCAGCTGCATTGAATCGGGGGAAATAAAGTCCTGACCCGTCGACACATGCACATTGGATTATTGATTAAATTGGATTTCATACGATTTATCCAAGTTTGCCTGTAACTTACTTGCACAAGTCATATTAAATGTTATTTAATATGCACCAGGCTCCATGACCCTATCACCACCATCCTCGCCCGACTCCACTGGCTTCCCATTCATATAGAGGATACAGTTCAATATCCTGGTCCTCACCTTCAAAGCCCTCCACGGTCTTGTTCCTCCTACCACCTCCTACCCCCCTACCAACCTGCCCGCTCTTTCCGCTCAGCGGGCTCCGGCCTGCTTTACCTCCCTCGCCCGCACCACCATTGGCAAACAGGTTCAGGTACTCTGCCCACACCCCTGGAACTCCATCCCGCAGTCCCTCTGCCACGCCATCTCTTTTGCCTCCTTCAAGGCGCAACTCAAGACCCGTCTCTTCGACTGTGCCTTCGATCACCCTCCGTTCCACCCTTGCCCTCCACCTTTCCCGATTCCAACCCCCAGCTCGGGTCCGAAACACAGATTGTCCAGCGCCTTGGGATATCCTCCCGACGTAAAAGGCACTGTGTAAATGTAATTTTGTTGTTATGGTCTCGACTGCTGCAACATATGAGTTTTAATGTATTTAATTTTTTTGTTTTTCAGGCTCACCGTGAATGTGGGAGTCTGTCTCTAGAGAGACACTAACTCCTTGTTGCCATGACAACGGGTGGCTGTTGTCATCTTCCAGGGTCTCTCTGTGACTGTTCTGGCAGCGCAACCTTTTCTAAGACTGTAGCATCAACTGATGTAGGTCGGCCTCAGTACATCACCCAAGTTACAGCAAAGAATGGCCGCTTGCTCTCAACTGTTATTAAGGCTCTAAGCACTCAGAAGTAAGTTGGAGTGAGCTACTTTGCAAAATTATTAAGAAACAGGTTTTGAATTGTGACATTTCAAGGAGTGCTGCGGGGGGAATGTATTGAGTTCATATTGCAAATCAAACTGCACTGTTTTTGTCTGCAGAACCCTGTTTTCTCAATGGGAAAAAATGAATGGATTCAATTTTGGGTCTGGTGAACTATTTTAAACAGTTAATTGATTACAGACATCACAGTGAGTCAAGAGCCGAGTGAGTGCAGACTCCATGTTATGGCACTGTGCGTAATGGTGAACATGCTTCTCCTTTGAGGGATCACAGTGAGATGCTGAACTGCGGCTGGAGAGTGTGAAACATCTTAATGGCTAAAGCAGCATGTTATACCATTAATGTATGCCATAGATTGTAGGACAAAGGTTAGGTTAAAGACCTGAAAATTGGGAGGAAGTAATGTGCAAAATGGAAGAAGAGGGAAAATTAATGCCTTGCTGTTTTTTGTGAAGGTTCACTACTATAACATTAGCTCAGGTTACACTTAACCTTTTCATCTCCAACCAAAACGTTACAACAGGTGGGAAGTTTGGAATGCAACAAAATGAGATTTTAAGCAATTTTTTCTTGCTAATTTTGCTAAGCTTGTTAAAATGATCTTTAAAGTAAAAGCTTATATTGTCCCATTCCTCTCACAAATTCAATAGCCTCTCACAATAATTAATTGTGAAGGAATGCAGAAAACATTTTTCTGCAGCAAGGGAGGTTTAAATCGCTAACTTTTTATTTTATGGTGAAAAGAGAATGGAAAATCTTTGGTATTTTACATTTCTGTGTGTTTTGCTCAGTATTTGAATGTTGCCTCAGTAACTTGGAGCTGATTTCTTGTGTTGCTCGTTGTAAACATGATTTATATTGATGGAAATTAATTTTGAGACCGCAGTGTCTTGGGAGGCTTCAGATAACAAGTGTGAAGTTCGAGATACATTTCCCAGCATCTAAGATTAGATTACAGCTTCGCGTAGCTATCTGCTACTTGTGTACCATATGTAATGGCTAGTTAGTAATTACTCATCCAGTGGTATTGGGAAAGTTTCAGTGTTTCATTGCTCTAAAGTTCATAATAGGGTCCTGCTCATTTATAAGTCACTATAGTATTATCAGGAAAAACGTGTGCATATATTTCAGATACCGGGTGACCAAAAAGTCGTGATATTTACCCTATTATCTAAAAAAAATCATAATTTATTTTTAAGACTTGTTAGACATTGTAATGTTATTACAACTTTTTGGTTATCCTGTATAGCTCAGTGGTTAGAGCACTCGCCTTGCAAGCGAGACACCTGGATTCAATTCCAGGCAGGGAAACCTTGAGCAAGTTTCCTTACTCCACACACCTGATAATAATCCCTCCAAAAAGCAAAACGATAATAAACTGTCATTTTCAATCCACGACTGTTTGTGTGGGACGCTGCTGTGTGCAATTGGCTGCTGCATTTCGTCCACAAATATACAGTCAATTCACTTTACAGCATATTCTGTGAAACGCTTTGAGACGTCAAGAAGACGTGAAAAACACGATATCAAATGACAAGGATTATTATTATTATTTTAAGTGGCGTGTCTTAATAACACCTAATGCATTGATTCCCTTTGTAGTGATGGACCAATTTGCCGGATATGTCATGAGGGTAACAACCTGGAGAGCTTGCTGTCACCGTGTGATTGCACTGGGACACTTGGAGCAGTGCACAAAACCTGCCTGGAGCGCTGGCTCTCGTCTTCCAACACCAGCTATTGTGAGCTGTGTCACACCGAGTTTGTAGTTGAGCGAAGGCCTAGACCTTTGAGAGAGGTAGGTGAAGTCACCTGATAGTACACTGTGTTGTGGCACTGAGAGAGAATCTTATCAGTTTGCTGGTTTAGGTAAATTTGCTTGTATGAAATACATCACTTTAGTGATGATTTATTATAATAATAAAAATAATCTTTGCATCTATTAAACATTAGACTGCTGTATATTCTAATGTATTCTTGAAAAGAGGAGGGTAAGGGGTGACCTGATAGAGGTCTTTAAAATGATGAAAGGTTTTGATAGGGTCGACATAAGGAAGATGTTTCTAGTTGTGGGGGAGACCAAAACCAGGGGCCATCAATATAAAATAGTCACAAATAGATTAAATAGGGAAATTAGAAGAAATTTCTTTACACAGATAGTAGTGGGAATGTGGAACATGCTACCACAAAGAGTTGTTAAGGTAACTAGCATAGAGGTATTTAAGGGGAAGCTAGAGAGGTACATGAGGGAGAAAGGAATAGAAGGTTAGGCTTCAAGGCTTAGTTGAGGAAGAGCAGGAGGAGCATAAACATTGGCATAGACCAGTTGGGCCGAATGGCCTGTTTCTGTGCTGTGTATTCTAATGTAACAGTAAACTCCTGATAACTCGTCACTCCAAGGGAAAAGGGCTCAGTGACGAGTTATCAGGAGCAGCGAGTTAGGCATATATATAAATGCATCAATAAATGTGGCCGGGATATTGACAGCGTGATGACTTAAGTGGCAGTGACAAGTTAAGCCAGGATCGTGTTATTAGGAGTCTACTAAGGTCTTTTCATGTCAGCAGGACGTCTCAAAACTCTTCAGAATTTTTTTTAACTATAAAGTGCACGTGGCAGCTTAGGGTTGGAATCCTGGTATTGTCGATCCCAAATGTTAATGATGCTCCCAAAATCTTAGGATTTATTGAAGAGAAAATCCCAGGTATTTGGGGATTGTGTAAATGCTGAGCCCAGGTAAGGGGAGTTCGGGCCTCCCTGCTCTGCCAGAAGCGAGCGAGCAGGCGGCTGAGTCATTAAACCCCACAGGCTACATCCCCGCAGACGGACACTCTCTGAGGTGCTATTGGGGAGAGCGACCACAGGTGTCCCAGATTAGGTAAGATGTTGGATCTTGGGATTTGGGGCATTAAAATTCCCAAATGCCAGGATTCAGAAAGAGCACCAGGATTGCACCCCCCTAGTGACGGCCAATCTGCGTACAACAATGCAAAAACAAACAGCCATGAAATGAATGACAAATTTTATTTTATGGGGATTATTATTATTATTATTGGCGAGCACACGGGAGAAACTCCCTTCTCTTTTTGAATAGTGCCGTAGATCCTTTAATGACACCTGAACAAGCAGATGGGACCTTGGTTAAATATCTCATCCAGAGAAACGATTCTCCCAACAATTCAGTGCACAGACTGTGTTCAAAATTCAAAATGGGTTTTGAACTTGTGATGTGTAATAAGATGTGTGAGTGTGACCTAGTGACTCAGAGATGAGTGTTAGCTTTGAGCCAGGTTAAAACCCAATTGTTCTGTACATGTGGAATATACAAAATGATTTTTCCAGTTTCTGGCTTGGCCATTAGACAGTGAACTTCAAGGTTTTACATAGAATATGCAGCACAGAAACAGGCCATTCAGCCCAACTGTCCATAGGCCACGAGGAACCCAACCAATCCTTACTTCCTCTCATACTCTCTCTTCCCTTCTCTCTCATGTTACTCCTCTGCACAAAAAGAGGCAGAAGTATAAACCTGGGAACTACAGGTCAGTTAGCCCAACGTCAATAGTGGGTAAACTGCTAGAGATTATAATCTAGGAAAAAATGTTGTCACTTAGAAAGATATGGGTTATTAAAGGACAGCCAATACAGATTGGTTAAAGGCAAATCGTGTCTAACAAACCTGATGGAGTTTCTTGATGAAGTGACGGAGAGGGTGGATGAAGGCAGTGCAGTTGATGTTGTTTATATGGATTTTCAAAGGCGTTTGATAAAGTGCCACATAAGAGACTTGTAAGCAAAATCGAAGCCCACGGTATTAAAGGGACAGTGGCAGCGGATACAGAACTGGGAGACAGAGCAGAGAGTGGTGGTGAGCGGTTGTTTTTCTGACTGGAGGGAAGTGCAGTGGTGACCCCCAGGGGTCGGTATTGGGGCCACTGCTGTTTATGATCTATATAAATGACCTGGACTGGGGTATAGGGAGGACAATTTCCAAGTTTGCAGATGATCTAAGTTAGGAAAAGTAGTAAACAGTGAGGAGGAGAGTAGCAGACGGCAAGAGGACATAGACAGACTGGTAACATGGGCAGACACGTGGCAGATGAAGTTTAATGCAGAGAAATGCGAAGTGATGCAATTTGGAAGGAAGAATGAGGAGAGGCAATATACGCTGATGGTACAATCTTAAACGGGGTGAAGGAACAGAGAGACCTGGGGGTCATATAAGGAAATATTTGAAGATGGCCAGACAGGCAGATAAAACTGTTAAAAAAAGCATAAGGGATACCAGGCTTTATAAATAGGGGCATAGAATACAAAAGTCAGGAAGTTATGATGAACTTTTATAAAACACTGGATGGGCCTCAGCGAGAGACTGGGTTCAGTTCTGGGCCCCACACTTTAGGAAGGATGTCAAGGCATTGGAGAGGGTGCAAAGGAGATTGACCAGGATGGTACCAGGAATGAGGGACTTCAGTGATCAGGAGAGGCGAGAGAAGTGAGGGTTATTCTCCTTGGAGCAGAGAAGGTTAAGAGGAGACTTAATAAAAGTTTTCAAAGTTATGAGGGATTTCAATAGGGTGAACAAGGAGAAACTATTCCCACTGGCGGGTGGGTCGGTAACCCGAGGACACTGATTTAAAATAGTTGTTTAAAAAAAACAGAGGGGAGGAGAAATGTTTTCACACAGCGAGTTGTTGGGATCTGGAACATTGCCTGAAAGGCTGGTGGAAGCTGATTTGATAACAACTTTTAAGAGAGAAGTAGATAATTATTTGGGTAGAACAAGTTTGCAGGGCTATGGGGAGAGAGCGGAGTTGATTTGGAAGCTCTTTTCAAAAAGCCCGCACAGACATTCCAATGGCTTCCCTCTGTGCTGTATAATTCTACGATTCTATGATTCATGTGTATATTTAGATACCAGGACATTTAAAGGTGCTTCCTTTTAAAGGTGATTTATCAGGAAGGATGTAGTTGAAAGAATACGGCTTCCGGGCACTGACTGTACATCTCATCAGCTGAGAGTACCTTTGATAGTGGTTGAGGAACATTTCACAGTTTGGAACATCAAGCCTTTCTGGCTGAAGTGGGAAGCAGGATGTGGGGAATGTGGATTGATTAAAAGACTTTATATCCAATGAATATTCCACTCTCTGTATCCTTCATGGGGAGCATATTCTTTCTGCCAAAGAGATTAGAGCATGGAACTCGCTAGTGGCCCAGCTGTCACTGGGGTGAGGATGTATCCAGTCTATTGTAGGAAATGCTAATTAAAACAAATCTAGATGGACCTAAAGAGGCTTGCTTGCTGCCAAAGACCTTCAACCTTACTACAAAACGTGACACATTTTTGTGAAGTCTACATTATATTACAATACATTATTCTACTGTGATCTTACTGAGATTATTAATCTTTCAATGTGTAATGAGTCATTCTTGTCTTTCAGTGGATCAGAGATCCAGGACCTAGGAATGAGAAGAGGACATTATTTTGTGATATGGTTTGCTTTCTATTCATCACTCCCTTAGCAGCGATCTCTGGCTGGCTGTGCCTGCGTGGGGCCCAGGATCACCTACAATTTAACAGCCGTCTGGAGGCTGTTGGACTTATTGCACTTACTGTGGCACTTTTTACCATCTATGTCCTATGGACACTGGTAAGAAATACCATCTACATGTGAATTAGTTTTCTTTCCAACATGGAACTAACTTTTTCTTCAAGCTGTTTAACTTACAATGATTTGGAAGGTGTGTTTTGCTCGAGGAAGCAAATAAACAATGTATTCTCAGCTAGTGGAGAAACAACAATAGTTACCTATACACAAACTGCAATTATACTGCGAGAACTTCGGTTTACTCCAAGCATTTATGGCAGGTGTCTCCAACTGTTCGATCTTGTTTTACTTATGCTGTACATACCGCCAAACAGTCCCAGATTGTGCGACTTGTTTTGACTTCCCCCAAACCCGCTGTCCTGGTTTGACCCCCGCAGTGGGTGCGTGTATGCGAACACACAGCCTAGCCGCAAGTGTAGATCTTTGCACTTATGGAAATCGAAAAGTAGATCCTCTATCTGAAAAGGTTGGAGACCACTGATCTAAGGGCAGCTGTGAACACTGGGGCCTGACCATTGTGATTAGCAGGTATCTCCTGACCTCACATAAGTGTGCATAATCGGAAGTTGTCAGATTAAGACTGATTGGGACCCACTGATGGGAACTTGCCGTTGATAACTAAAAGATGAGCATGAAAAGTTTGTTCAGCCTGTGATGCCTGTAAGTTTGTCAGAATTATGTTCCTTGTCGAGCTCCATTTGCAGTGGGCTTTATGTTCAATTTACTAATTGCAATATAATTTCTCTAGCTATGCTTTTTAGGCGGTTATGGGATGATTTGCACGTTGCTTCAGTGAATAGCGCTTCTTGATGGAGCTCTTTTTTTACTGGCAAACATGATGTGGCCAGAGCTCATTAAATCAGCAAGGAATAGCTACAGTTCTGCCAATATTGTTCCTGTTGAACAGGATGCCAATCTTGGGATGGGTTGTTGAGCGTTTAATATGAAACAGGTTGTTGATTATCTAAAGCAGTGTGGTCAAACTGGTGGCCTGTGGGCGAGATGCAGGCCGGTGGGTAATTTTATGCGGCCACGACCATTTCCAACATTCCAACTTCCACTCCCTCCCTCCCTGGTGAACGTCCTCTCCAGGCAGCAGCAGGAGCTGGCGGTTGGGATGACACTGCACGGAGTGTAAATAACATTGGCCGTTACTGCAGTCTGTCAGGAAGGCAAGTGCGTCTCTTACCAACCACTTCCTTAGCAACTTAGTCTGCTGCTGAAGATAGTGACCCGCTCAGCTGATTGAGAGAGCGTGGGATTGAAGAGGGGGAGAGAGAAGGGTGTTAGAGGGGGAGTGAGAATGTGTGTGTGAAAGTATGTATGTGTGAGAGAGAAATGTAAGATAGGGGGAGTGAGAGAGACTGAGAATGATTGAGAGAAGGAAAGAGATTGTAAGGGAGTGGGAAAGGGGGCGAGAGAGAGTGTGAGGGGAAGGGAGTGAATATGAGGGAGAAGGGAAGAAAAAAGACGAGGGGGAAATTGAGAGAGGATCATTTAGAGAGAGTTTCAGAGGGGATAGAGAGAGTGTCTGTGGGAGAGTGAGAGAGAGTAATTGAGAGAGGGAGAGTGTGTATGTGTGAGAGAGAGTGGTTGAGAGGGCACGGTTGGTAAGAGCCCCGCTTGCCTTCCTAACGGATGTGGCCCGCAGACCGCCAGCTGGCCCACTTTCGGCTGCTGTAGGCTGAATTCCCTATTTGGTTCTCAAACAGGGAATTCAGCCCGTAGCAGCCAAAAGGTTGGACCACCATGATCTAAAGGATTGTATAGTCAGACAGTGGATGAGTCGGAGGAAGATTTGGGGCTTTAGCATCTCCTTGACCTGTAATGGTATTCCTATGTAAGAAGTCTTGTCTGATAGGCATCCTCACTTGTGGCAGTTGCTTCCTCTCTCTTTCTCTCTTCCTCTCTCTCTTACAGTTCCCAGTTTCAGGTGGCCAATAATCTCAGGCAGGCAGGGCAGCAGTAGTGCTTCACTGGACTTTAGTGTCACTAAACTGGAAGGGAGGAGATAATTTGGCCAGGTTACACATTGTCAGTGGCTATTTAGAAATGTGGAGTGTGTTAATGGGAATGTCTGCTACATGTCAGTGTAACGTATGTTTAATGTTATTTTACCCAAAGGTTTCATTCCGCTATCACTGCCAGCTCTACTCAGAATGGCGAAGGACCAACCAGAAGGTGCGACTGATGACTGTGGACCATAAAAATGCAACTTCGCATTCCCTGCTGTCATCCCAGCTGCTGAGGAAAAATTCCAGTGAGACCATTGTGTGAGACGTAGATATGAAGAACTACATGGCATAGACGAGTGTAATCATTTATAATTCATACACTTTGCACTTGTCCCCGAAAAGCACTGTACAGAAGCAGCAGAGAAATTGCTAGTTGGAAACATTTTTTTCTTTTCTTTAATGAAATGTGCATTGGGCAATCTTCCTCAGGAGGTACAGTGTGTTACATCCAAACCTGCACGTGCAGCCGTCACCCAAATGCAATTCCAATTCTGGTGCGATTGGTCATTTCATATCACCCCTGCAGCCGAGCTGTTACCCTGCAGCACTTTTGAATATCGTTGCAGCCTATGAGATGGAATCGCAGGCAGTTTCGAATTTGACAATCGGTTCTGCGCTGTTCTGTGCAAATAACAGCAAAGACTAAGCAGAGTATATCTAATTGTTACCCAGTTTATAATGCGATAGCAATTGGCCTTAGACACAAACGCATCACTTCTGCAATGCACCGTAATCAGCTGTTGGGTATTTTTAATTGTAATAATGTAAAGATGAAGAGATGTGATCTGAAATCTTTACCGAAAATTATATAATAAGAAAAAGAATCAACTGTTCATGACTGCTCTTGTGGACCAGGAACCAACCGTGAGGACAATGCTTTTGGTTAGTTTATTCCCTTGTTGTTAATCACTGCCTCTCCTTGGCACCAGTCAAAGTTCATGTCTTTTAAAATTACTTTTCTTTTAGTGACGTACACCATGGGTCCATCCTATCGTGTAGATCTAGGGGAACCTGGTTTTAAGGATATAATGTCTGAGATCCCGTTTTCAATGTTGTAAGTGAATAATGTAAGAATTCTAATCATCTGGAAGAGAAGAAAAATATTTGTACTTCAGTACAAAATCAGTATTGTTACTCTTGATGTATTTATGCTGCACCTCTGGTGCTAAATTGCTGTGATTTTGAGGTTAATTTGCCACCAAGTCTGCTGTATAAATGAGAGTTGGGGCAGCATAAATCATGCTGATGTCCTGCTCCGGAGATTGCTTGTAGATGGTGTTCTCAGGTGTGGTCCAGTTCCTCTGCAGGTTGTCAGGAAATCCAGTGGATGGCCCAGGATTTGATGTGTGCTGTGTGTGCACTCAACACTCTTGATTCCCTGCGCAGAAAGCCAATTGGTTTAATTTTCTGGTCTTGGTTTGATGTGAGTTATAACTGTGGCTCTCTGCTCTCTGTGGGAGTGCCCAGAGACTCTCGCACACTGAGGTATAACTGCAGTAACAATTCAATGATATGTAATGCTTAAGTCACTTAAACTTTGAAAAATACCCCTGAGGCACAAGCAATTCTAGAATTGGCCCTTTCACCTATTTGTTTACGGAAAGCATTGTGAACTGAATCAAACAAGGGTAGTACCAGAGTGTTTAACACAAGTGGGATGTCAGAGTGTATAACACTACATTAATAAGCTGGTGACCATATCGCTGATTCTTACACTTTGTCTGCTTGTGGTCCATGTGTTTTCAAGGGTACAAAAACTCAAAGAATTGCTTCACTTCTCATCTTTGATAGTAGCAGTCTGTGTTTCTCCTCTCTCTTTCTCCCCTCCCCCCGCCAATCCAAGCAGCAGATGGCTGTGTGGTTGGAACAGTTACGCTGAGGCAATATCAAAGGGCTTACATTTTATTTATCACTTTTATTTCAGTTTTTACATGTATTGCACTTTTATTATAATCCATTTTTCATTATTTAGTTGATGCAAAACAAATTTAAAATGTGGATTTTTTTTGAGGGAAGTTTGAGAGCTGGGTGAATAGATGTTTTATAAAATCATCCAACTTCCTTCATCAAAATAATGGCAACAACAGCTAAAGGCCTTGGAACAACCAAAGACTCTGTTTGTCCATCCGAGCACTTATTTGGTCAGACTGTGGGTGACCACTTATCATAGAATCATAGAATTGTACAGCGCAGAAGGAAGTAATTCGGTCCATCTTGTCTGTGCCAACTCTTTGAAAAGAGCTACCAAATCAATCCCACTCCCCCACTCTCTCCCCATAGTGCTGCAATAACAACAAAATTACATTTATAGAGCGCCTTTCACATCGGGAGGTTGTCCCAAAGCGCTGCAAACTTGTCCTCCCCAAATAATTATCTATGACAGATGCGGTGATGCTACATCCGTATTTGATTTCTTCTGAAACCTGTCCTCACCTTCTTAATCACTCTGAGACACCGTCCGGCTAGGAGGGTGCTCTATAAATCCAAGTTGTTGTAATCCAGTGTTTCTCAATTCCTGACAATTCATCTGAGATGTGGTATTTGGCACTCCAAAGACAAAGTCTTAAATATGCTTTAACTTCGCTTGAGCAAGGAGATGAGCTATTAATGCCAAATGTGTTTCTATTCATGAGGAATCTGGAGGAGAGTAGGTGCCGGATCTTAAAACTGAAACATTTTTGCTGCACAGTTTAAAATCTGTTCTTTTTTCTTTCCTGTTTACTATTTCAGAAGCTTGGTTCATTTTATGAAGTAAATACATTTAATCCTTTGACAATCATAAAGCTTTGGAAGCTTTTGAGAAACTATTATTTTGTTTTTCTAAAAAATAATGCTGAATTGTTTTATTGTAATGCTCAAATAAATACACACCTTTTATTATATTTTAAAAATTGCTACACTACAATGTAATTCTGTTTTAATTCTGTTCAGTCAAAGCAAACTCTGCTTGGGAATGGTACAATTCATCCACGATGTGGATTCTCTGCAGCAGCTATTGTATGCTTGGCTCAGCCACTAGACAGTGAATGTGATGACCAGTCTCAGACGAGCTACTGGGGAAAACACAGTAGTTTTATTTCACCACATTGCCTGAGCACTCAGAGAATTCTGCTGATCTTGCACTTGTTAGCATTTACAACATGATCACTTGGGAGTGTCTTTAGATATCGAAAGATGCCTGTCACATCAAGTGTAGAATATGAAAAAGGAGGCTTGTGTGCATTTAAAAAAAATAAAATGCAATTTCTAACAGTCCTTAAAACTTTCTATCTCAAGCCTTAATCACACACTTCCAGGAAGTGTCAGTGAAGTTAGTTGAACTGTATCATTATCTGACTCCTGTGTCACAGGGTATTCTGCTTCCTCCTGATACAACTCACTTAGTTGCATGTGTCCTTCACCAATATGACATTTTGTTTAATGAACAAACACTAAATGGTGTAGATTTGTGTCTTAGTTAAACATTCCTTCAAACTGTTTCTGTTTGTGGTTTAATTTTACTGTAACTTGGTAGGAACTGCAGTCTCCCCTTTTATTTGATCCGTAGGTTTGTTCTTACTGGAATTAGGAACCATTTCTTTTGAAGTCCAATATGCCACTTGAATTTTATGGTAAGTTGCTTCATCTTCCCACCAGTACTCATTGATGGCCTCTCCCAGATTTTAAAGGATATGCAATGAGCCAGAGTAGCTGCCTTGCGTCTCTTCAGGGCTGGTTGAAAGTGACATTGACAGAGACTTGAGTAAAGATGTTGTCCCTGTTCACCCATTAGCTTCAAGCAGGTGCTGTACGGTGCAGGTGGAAACGGGAAGCTAGGCCTTGTATTGATGCTCAATGGGGGAAGGCAGCACTCTGAACCGATGCTATTCAATCAAATTGCTGGCCCTTTAATGTGTCAGTGCAGTGCCTAGATAGTCGTTGGCTGGTCTGTACAGTATTTAATGACTGACTTTAGTGCAATAAATCTGAATGATATGGGAATGTGCGATGCAGCCACGATTGTTGCATAATCTCTGATCTGGACAAACCAAGAGGGTCTTAACTTCCAGGAAGTGAACTTTCTGTTGGGAGAATGGAAAGAAAGAGACTGTGCCATTTTATTTTCAAATTGTGCTTCTCAGCCTTCAGTTAACGTCTTCTCTTTATTTATTGTTTAAAAACATTGCTGAGTAGTATCTTATTTGTGAACCAAGGAAAATCACCCAGGTTTCCTGCCACTACACAGTGCTCCCTGGTGGTGGAACATGCATGACCTTAAAAATATTGCCGCATCTTCCAATTTGTGCTGTTGCAATTGTGTTTCTATCCTTTTGTGTAGATATAATCAGTACCTAAAAGTCTTCGATCAAATGCAACTTGAAAGTTTTAAGGGTACATTTAAGAAGCACACACCCAGTAATTATTAATACTTGCATTTAATACTGCGCCTCATCACATCAAAATTTCTCACATAATACATTTGTATTGATGACCTCCTATGACACAAAGTTTTTAACCTGGAATCATTGTCTAAACTCTTGTCCTCCGTTACTTGTGAATGTGCCAAGGGGATGCCTGTTCACATATTAAGCCCTCAGGTTCGTGCAGTTGGGGTTTTAATGATGGCTAGATTGACGTGTGTTTGATTTAGAGTGGTGGTGTTTTGCCAGGAATCAGGAAAGTGGCAATAGGAGGAGAAGGTGGTTGTAAATCCTCCCTAAATCCTGAAGTGTTAAAGCCGACACTCTAAATACATTACAAGTATTGAATGATAATGAAAAGATTATCCTTTTTTAAATTAATGTGCCGGTGTTGGTTAAAGCTAAAATCTTAGTAAAATGCGGTGTAACGTCTTGTTAGGGTGAGTCCATTGAAGAACCCCAAATAAAAGCCCTCAGACTAGTGTGGTTTGGGCTTTAATGATGGCTGGATTGACGTGGTTCTTCCATTTTCATTTGAAATGATAATTTCATTTTCAAAAGCATATTTGCAAAGATGGAAAGGTTTTTGCATGGAAATGCATTAAGGTGTTAAACGCCTCATTGATGTATGTGGTGAGTCCTTGTGAATTTGTACCAACAGTACTTAATTATTACACATTAACATCATCACTATCAAAACATAGAATTTTTTAACTATCCTGTGTGCAGTTGTAATAAATTGTAAATGTTGTTAGTCATTGCTCTTACGTTTGCTATGCCAAGCTGATTGTACACTGTCTTCATTCTATCAATGTAAATAAGATAAATGTACTAAATCTCAACTTTATTACCTTGAATAAACATCATCCAAGATCACATTCCTTTGTTAAACTCTTTAAGTGATGTATCCTATCCTTCTGCTTCTATGTATCTTAGCAAATGTAAAAGTAGGAGTTTTACTCCAATTTCCGTCCTGATCTGACAAACTGTTAACAAATGTCAGGATTGTGATTGTTTGGCACTTTTTAAAATCGTGACAATTGGAATTTTACTGCCCTCAGTTTTAATCCTTGATTTAATGATTCATTGATTTAAATTTGCTACAAATTAATTTCTGTATTTTTAAAAATGTATGAAATAAGGCATATGTTTCTTTGCTTTTCAAAATATATCATATTTGTAAAATTGAAATTCCCTGAAATTGAAACTTGGGTTTCCAAATACAGGACAATAATAGCAGTGGATGTTTTAAGCATTAGAGGAGACTCACAATATTAAATTTCATTTTAACACTTTAAATTGTACATTCAGCTGGCTCAGTTGAAGGCACACAAACCTCCAGATGAGAAATCAAGTTAAGAATTGGCTTCCTTCGTATAGATTTAACATTTAAGGAGATAATTTGAATGCCTGCCATCACACACTGCATTTGATATCGCGCCTTGTTTTATGATCCTTTCTGCGTTTAGTTCTTCCAGAGTCCATGTTCTTCTAATTTTAACAATCTGTCGACAAAAGGTCTCAAAATGCTTCACAAGATTTGGAGTAAAGTGCAGCATGGCCCTGCGCTGGTCTCAGCCTGGTTCTGAGGTGCTCTCACAATGATATAGCAGCCTTTACGTAGGATAACACCTCGATCGGTGCACCGTAAAGTGGTGGAGTTGGATGCTGAGCAAGTGGGAGGTGACCTTAGGTACGGGCAGAGAAGTTTGTTTTAAGGTTTTTTTGAAGACTGATTGAGAGCTGATGAAGTGGAGGGATCGAGGCAGGGAGTTCTGGAGATTAGAGGTGTAGTGACTGAAGGCAAGTTTGAGTGAGCTGAGTAGACGGGAATGAGAAGAGGAGATGGGAGGTGCAGGGAAGGGATTTCTCGTCACTGCGAGGAGGTGCTGGACTTTCTCCAAACCAAAATGGAGGGGATCTGTACAATCTGTACAAAAAGGGACAGAAGGATAAACATGGGAACTACAGGCCAGTCAGCCTAACGGCATTAGTGGGGAAAACTTCTAGAGACTATAATCAAGGATAAAATAAATTTTCACTTAGAAAAATATGGGTTAATAATGGACAGCCAACATGGAGTGGTTAAAGGCAAATCGTGTCTAACAAACCTGATGAGTTTTTTGATGAAGTGACGGATGAAGGCAGTGCAGTTGATGTCGTTTATATGGATTTCCAAAAGCCGTTTGATAAAGTGCCACATAAGAGACTTGTAATCAAAATCGAAGCCCACGGTATTAAAGGGACAGTGGCAGCGGATACAGAACTGGGAGACAGAGAGCAGAGAGTGGTGGTGAACGGTTGTTTTTCTGACTGGAGGGAAGTGCAGTGGTGTCCCCCAGGAGTCAGTATTGGGGCCACTGCTGTTTATGATCTATATAAATGACCTGGACTGGGGTATAGGGAGGACAATTTCCAAGTTTGCAGATGATACTAAGTTAGGAAAAGAGGTAAACAGTGAGGAGGAGAGTAGCAGACGGCAAGAGGGCATAGACAGACTGGTAACATGGGCAGACACATGGCAGATGAAGTTTAATGTGGAGAAATGCGAAGTAATGCATTTTGGTAGGAAGAATGAGAAGAAGCAATATAAGCTGATGGTATAATCTTAAAGGGGGTGAAGGAACAGAGTTCATATAGTCTGGGGGTCATATAGTAAATCTTTGAAGGTGGCAGGACAGGCAGATAAAGCTGTTTAGAAAAGCAACGGGATACCAGGCTTTATAAATAGGGGCATAGAATACAAAAGTCAGGAAGTTATGGTGAACCTTTATATAAAACACTGGTGAGGCCTCAGAGACTGTGAGACTGT